TGACAGTGGAAGATGACGACCCGCTGAGGGATGGCTTCCTTCTCAAGTGACCTTTTCCAAAAGTCTTAAGGTTTTCCTTCTGAAGTAATTACCTCTGAGTGATGCTTTCTCTGTATCACATGAAAACCAGCGTCCAGTGACACATATGGGCTAATTTTTACACGTTCTAAGAGAGTACACTATAGCTAAATGCAAGGCATTCATTATACTTCATATTTGCAAACCTTTTGAGCATACATATCACTGATACGGTGTACAAAGTGCTAAAAATTCAGAAACTTTTTAATCATGAGTATAGAGGGCAAAATTAAAACCTAGTTACTTAATCCGTGCTGTGGAAATGACAGTACTTTGTTTTAAAGTTTCTTTGAATGATAGCTTCAGTGATAGACCACACAATAATAAACCTGGTGAGTTTGTTATTTTAATGTTCCTGTTTACGTAAAGTAAAGCAGCATGCTGAGGAGGTGGTTATTACAAGGTTCTCAACACGGCATGAGTAATCTTGGAAGGATCACACAGGGTCGGGTTCTTTGGCAGGCATTGTTATAGGTGCTGCTGGGGTATTGCCTTTGCTGTGGAGCCCCCATCATCAGCACCCTCTGGTACCCATGTGGCACAAAGTCACTGACCAATGCTGCAAAGACCAGCTTGTAACCAGATTTTTGCCATCTCTAAGATGGTGCTCTTTTTGGTTTGGGAGTGGTCTTTTGTTTGTTGTGTGTTTGGTTGGTTGTTTTTCCTTTGTTTGGTTCATTTGCTGGTTCTAAGGATTGATTCTACAACCTCATGCTACATTATTGAAATACAGATGTGAAGTAAAAATTAATCTATGAGCCTTTACAGTGAAATGCATCTCATGTTCTGTCGGCTGACCTTGGCCAGTAAGTTGTTCTTCAGTACTGACGAGGAAAGTCCAGGAGATCAGAGATCAAGAAGATAGAAAAGGTGGGCCCAGGAGGTCTCCCACAAGCTCTGTCTTATGCCAAGCAAGTTTATTAAGAAGTACGCCATCTTGTATCCTGTTTGCAGGGGGGATGGGACAGAGCCAGCAGAAAGCTATCGTATAGTGGGACAGAGTCAGCAGGAAGTTCATCAAGCAGTGCTGCACAAGAGGAGCACAGGATACCTCAGGGCTATCACAGGCCAGGCACACAAAGTCCCTGGGACTGATAACGCCAATCTCTTCAGTGGGGAAAGTCACATTCCCAGGAATGGAAACTCGAACTCCTTCTAGGTCCTGGCTCCAGCCCCAGACTGGACTTGGTCAAGTCTGCCCCTGGGCAAGGACACTGAACTAGGTTCCTTTTGTCCTTTCCTGGGGACCTCTGAGAAAGCCTTGGATCCACCTGACTCTCAACAATCAGCTGCTTGCTAGATTTAGAATATGAAAAAACAAAACAAAACTGAATCACTCTGGTATTGTCAGTTTAGAGACTGTGACACCAACAAACTGATATTACCTAACATCCGACATCTAATCCAGTGGTTCTCAACCTCTGGGGGTCTTGCAACCCTTTCCCAGGGGTCGCCTAAGGCCCCGAGAAAACACAGATATTTACATTACAATTCATAACAGTAACAAATTATAATTATGAAGTAGCAATGAAAATGATCTTATGGTTGTGGGGCCACAGCATTTGGGAGGTTGAGAACCTCTGATCTATCCTGTCCTCGCTTTGCCTCCCTCGGAGTGAGAAAGACTAGGGAGATCAACCCCACCTCCCCTGGCATTGGAGCAATGTTGATTCTGCTGCTAATACTGCTCCCTGCAACCCAGGCCATCTCAAGGCTTAACCTCATCAACAAACCATAGCACCCACCACCTCGTTCCCCTCAGTGGCCTCCCCCGAAGCATATAAATGTGTTCATGATAAAGATGGTGACAAGCACTCCTGTCCCTCTTTCTAGCTTGCTTCCAGCCCTAACTCCTTCCCTCGGGAGTGAAGCTTCTAGATACACTCTCCTGGTGTAGTCAACCATTGTCTGGCTGGCTTCTGCATCATTACTCTCTGGAAACTGGCCTGTCAGTTCTAAGTGTCCCTGAAGGGTTCATCAATCCCGTGCTGGACACTGCTGCTGGATCCTGGCAGTCAAGTGTGGTACCCATTGGAGCAGGACTTCCAACTTTTTGGTGCAAAGGTCACCCACAGAGTGGCTCAGTGAGGCTCCCCAGACCACTGGGTTGGTAGTCAGCCCCCAGTTGCACATGATGCTGGAATTATGTGAGCCAAGATCCATACCTCCTTCTTGTTCCAAAGCTTCTAGATTTCTTAAGAAACAGGCCACCTTTCAACCCTCAAAACTCACACATTGTGTCCTATCCCTCTTTGAGACAATGTTCATACTTCTGTGTAGATCTTAACCTAAAGGCCTAAAGTGAAAATCTTGTTGACTGGGCTTAGGTTGAGCTATTTCGAACACTCTGAGGTGTGTGTCTGGAGGGAGACTCCCCTTTGGTAGCAAAACTTTTTGGCAAACTTTGTTAATTACCTGATGGGGCCCAGGTTTCACAGGTGAGTGTGCCCTTACCAAGCAACTTCTTTTCGCTCTAAAATACTCGAAAAGTCTGTCTTTTAGGAAAAGGATGGAGCTGACCTCCACAAGCCGCTTTCAAACTGAGGTGACACCGGAAAATGTACCATTGTGTCTTCCTACCTGTATCAGCCACCTGCCCTGCTTTGCCCCCTTAACGGCTTCTAGTTTTAACCACCCCCTGGCGTCCTATTCAGTATCTGTTTCTTTTTCACTCACTGTCCTGCCCCTGAGTTACCCAGTTCATGCCCATGGATGTAGTTAGGAATGGAGAGTCTTGGAAGTCTTGGAAGTGAGATGAGGTTGTTCAGAGGGAAGAGGGCTGGGCTCCAGTAGGAAAACATCAACTGGCAGAGAGAAGGATGCTGGAGTAGACAAGGAAAGGAGCAAGCACAGGGCGTGAGGTCCCTGTTGCCTCCTTGAACCACGTACCTGACTATGATGATGACCCTTGTTTGGCAAAGGTCACCTGCTACTTAGATTACACCCTCTTCCTTCACAAAGTTCAGCCTCCATAGCACAGCACACGGGTCCTGTCCCAAGAAAACCATACACATTTCCCTTTTACTCCCCCAGTTGCCTGTTGCCTAGAATGCAGACGCCAACAACTTCAACATTATCTTCTTGAGGTCATGTTTGCGTCCACCATAGCTCTTCTTCTCTCCTCCCACTTCTCCGTAGTCCAGTTTGGTATACAAAGTCTTTATCAACTACCCTAGCAACGTAATTGCCGTTGAATTTCATTCTTGCATTTTGTAAAAACAGGTATTTCCTTGTAATACATTTGTGTTTGCATGAGACTAAATCTTTTGGGGCAAGGACCCTTATTAGCTCTTTCCGAAAACTAGGCATTAATGGTTGAAGATTGAATGTATTAAATAAATTAATCTCTAGGTACTATATTTTCAAATTGAATGGTTGTCAGCTGGGGTTGTGTCTACCCTCAAGGGGAATGCGGCAGTTTCTGGAGACAGTGTTAGTTGTTGCATCCGGGAGAAGTGTTGCTGGCATCCAACAGGCAGGTACTGGAAATGCTGCTAAGGACTCTGCACGGAACAACTCTCACCAACAACGAATGATCTGGCCCAGACTGGGTAAGGCTGATACCAAGGAATCCTTAAATGCACTTCTATTGAGACTCTTAAGTTTCCTGTAGCAGGCATTGAAATAATCCCCTGAGCACTAGTACGGACTGAACTCCAAGACCTGCAAGCGTCCTAGTCATTCTTTAAGAGTTTCTCAAGCTTGTGGGTGCGTAAGCATCTCCTGGAGAGCTTGTCGAAGCACGAGCGTCTGGACCTCCTCCCAAGTGTCAAATCAGCAGATCTTGCATTGCTGACAGTTCTCCAGCAATGCTGATGATGTTGCTGGCCCTGGACCCACGCTGCAAACAGTTGCTTTAGAGAGCACAGGTAACTGGAGGGTTGAATCAAGCGTTTGCTCCTCAAGGCCATAGCCACAGTCTAGAGATGCAACTTTGCTGGGCAGCCAGGCCTTTTCTGGTCCTGTCTCTCCCCGGTGCCTGTGGCTGGCAATGCCTTATATACCACACAAATCACATTCCAGAGGCCAGACGGTAAAAGCGGGGGAACCTATGCCTCTCTGCCCTCTCCCCATGCATTAACCAGTTACTGTCAGAGGTTCAGGACCTTGAACAGTAGATGCCATCTTCCCTCCTAGATCCGCATGCTAGTTAGTCTTTGAGAGCATCTGTTCAGAATCGGAGCCCAGACTCAGGAATATTGAGTGTCAGCAAGACATCTATTGAAACAAGTTCGTGACATCAGTAGTTTTCAAAGTGTCAAAATGTGGCCCTTGGACCATCCTCATCACCACCCATACAAATTCTTGGTTCCCACCCCAGAGCTACATCATCTGAAACAGATTGGAACCTAGTCATGTGTAGCGCGCCCTCTGGGTGTTTCTGTTGCTGGCTCAAAATATAGAAGTACTGGAAATAACCCCCGCCCCCCAAGTTTAAGAACTCCAGATGTGGACTCCTTTCCTTTCCTACCTGCGTACACCAGAGATATCCACAGCATCAGTTCCCTCACAACGCCTTCCCTGTAGGTTATCTGCGCCCCGACAGGAAAGAGCAAGCCCACCTCCGTTGAATCTGCCATTCGTATGCGGGGTGGTCTGGCTGTCTCTGGCATGGCAGGGTGCTGGAGGTGGACCATACCAGCCCTCAGACACACAGACCCTGGCTGGGCCACCTCGGACTGGGAAAGGAGACGATGTGGGCCGGTTTTCTGGGGTACCCGGCTGGCGTCCCGCCCTGCGTTCCTGCGTAAACAGGCGGTTCCCTCGGCAACGCCTGGAACCCACGTCAAGGTTCCACCGGTCCCGGGTGGTGACCGCCCCGTTTCGGCCGAGCCCCACCCACTCCTCGCAGCGGCGGCCGCTCGGGTCGGCTCAGCCCTTCACCCTGCTGCGGGATGAGCAGAGCGGCGGCCCGCACGGAGCCCCATGGAGGAGCAGGCGCGGTCCCCCGGCCGGCCGCCCGCGAGCGTGGCCTTACCGGGCAGCGCGCATCCGGGCGGGGCGGTTTCCACGGCCACCGCGGCCGCGCTGTCCTTCAGCGCCGTAGCCACGGTAACGCTGGGAAACCAGAGCGATGCGGGCCGGCCGGAGGCGGCGGGGCCTCGGGGACCCGCGCCGCTGCTGTGGCACGGGGCGGCGGTGGCCGCCCAGGCGCTCGTGCTCCTGCTCATCTTCCTGCTGTCTAGCCTGGGCAACTGCGCCGTGATGGGGGTGATCGTGAAGCACCGGCAGCTGCGCACGGTCACCAACGCTTTCATCCTGTCGTTGTCCCTGTCGGACCTGCTCACCGCGCTGCTCTGTCTACCCGCCGCCTTCCTAGACCTGTTCGCGCCCCCGGGAGACTCGGGGCCCTGGCGCAGCTTCTGCGCCGCCAGCCGCTTCTTCAGTTCGTGCTTTGGCATCGTGTCCACGTTCAGCGTGGCGCTCATCTCGCTGGACCGCTACTGCGCCATCGTGCGGCCGCCGCGCGACAAACTGGGCCGGCGGCGCGCGCTGCAGCTGCTGGCCGGTGCGTGGCTGGCTGCCCTCGGCTTCTCCCTGCCCTGGGAGCTGCTTCGGGCGCCCCGGGAACCCCCGGCTCCGCAGAGCTTCCACCGCTGCCTTTACCGGACCTCTCCAGACCCCGCGCAGCTGGGCGCCGCCTACAGCGTGGGGTTGGTGGTGGCCTGCTACCTGCTGCCCTTCCTGCTGATGTGCTTCTGCCGCTACCACATCTGCAAGACCGTGCGCCTGTCGGACGTGCGCGTGCGGCCGATGACCACCTACGCGCGCGTGCTGCGCTTCTTCAGCGAGGTGCGCACGGCCACCACCGTGCTCATCATGATTGTCTTCGTCATCTGCTGCTGGGGCCCCTACTGCTTCCTGGTGCTTCTGGCTGCGACTCGGCAGGGTCAGGCCACTCAGGCCCCCTCGCTGCTCAATGTGGTGGCTGTCTGGCTGACGTGGGCCAATGGGGCTATCAACCCTGTCATCTATGCCATCCGCAACCCCAACATTTCTATGCTCCTAGGGCGCAACCGTGAGGAGGGGTACAGGACTAGGAACATGGATGCTTTTTTTCCCAGCCAAGGCCTAGGTTTGCAGGCCAGAAGCCGCAATCGTCTTCAAAATGGCTGTGCCAGCAGGTTAGGGGCTTGTAGCAGGATGCCTTCCTCCAACCCGGCTAGCGGGGCAGGAGGGGAAGTGGTCATGTGGGCTCGCAAAAACCCAGTTCTGCTCTTCTTTGGAGAGGGACCACCAGATCCGGTTACAGCAGTCGGCAAAGAGCACAAATCTGAAACCCGGGATAGTAGCCTCTAAGAACGGTTGGGGTGGACAGCTTGTTCCACCCCTTTCGTTTAGTGTTGCGGGAATCCGGGGAGAACTGTGGATGTCAAAAAGCTAGACATTTACAACTAAAACAGCAGAAATGGGAGGGTTACCGCTTCATTCTCAAACATAAAAGACGCAAGGGAACACCCCCTTTCTTCAAAAGTGCGGAAAAGAATGTGAAATGCAAAAACTGAAACCATCTTAAACCACACAACCAAGCATTGGGAGGTGTAAGTGCTAACAAGCCACAAAATAAAATTCACAGTTACTGAAAAGCTCATATTACAAGAATCATCACACTGTGAAACAAACAAAAATCATTGAACTGAACTGAACAGATTTATTCAAATACTGGTTTTTTTTGAATGAGTTAAGCCCCTCGGATCTGTTTGAGGGCCCCCTGTACTTCACCAGCATTCAACGAGACCAGATTCTGGAGTCCGACCTGCTTTGGGTGCTTAGAGCTGAGAGCTGAAACATCATTACACCGACTGGTGCCCTCCCCCGGAATTTTTGTGCGAAATTTTAAATTGAGTCTATTTTAAACAACTTCAGGATTTCTGAAAAGGTCGTTTATTACTAGATATAATTCAGTGGTCCAAAGGGCAAAATGAACGCAATGTGGTGTTTAAACAGAAGTCCAACATTATACATAAAAACCCATGTTCCCTCTAAGCCGGTTTTAGCCCCCAAATCATCTGTCTTGGGAAACCACGTCCTTACTCTAAACCATTGTTCCTGTCTGATAGCTTGTGTGGATGCCACTCCAAATGCTTTCATTAAAAAAAATAATAATAATTTTCATACTAAAATTTTTTTTTGTCTATTGGGGCAACTCTGTGTTTTTGTTTGTTTGCTTTTTGTTTTTGTTTTTTGATAGAGCCCAAACTGTTATTTGAAATCAAATTGCTTGAATAAGGTGAGTCCTGCTGAATATGTGTATAGGCATGTATGTATTATACATACACCTTACATATCCAGTACTGGATGGCCTACCTATCCTTTAACTTCCAAATGTGATTCCAACGAGGAATTCTAAAAGTAGTTTGAAAAGTATGGCCACATTCTTGGAACAGCCATAGAATGTCCTACGAGGACATACTTTCTATTTAGAAGGCTGAGTATTAATTTTTTAGCAGCAAATATTATAGTCACCATTAGAATGATAATTGGTATGGGATTACAAGATGGGTTTTAAGTCCATAGGCACAAGGTTGGAGAGATACCTCAAGAAAACTGAAAATATTTTCAGAAACTTGCAAAAATAACTTTTACAGTAATCCAGAAGCACAATCTATGCTTTGTATATGCGGAATTTCTTACACTGGATGTCACTGCAATTTTTTCCTCCCTTCCTGCTGCTTCTCTTTAATTCAGTAGTTTGTGGCAGTAGCTGAATAATCATTTTTAAAAGTATGAGAATGCATGCTATGTGAAGATTTCATTGTGAACTAGCCAGCATCATTTTTCTTGTAAAGTATTTAAGATGTCTGTTAGTGTGTCTTTGTGTGTCCGGTGAGTGCACAACATTATTTTGTAATCAAAGATGGAAATATATGATCCTTGTCTTGATGAGCAAAGGATGTTTTAATTCTTCTTACTCTCCAGGTGTCACACAGTCAGAAGTCTGTAAATTATCTGGATATGTTATTGCAACAGTCAATGTGGCAAGAAGATGATGAGGAAAAGCCCTCCTTTCTAAAGCCTGTTGTCATAGGTTATAGGCTTAATGCAACCAGAAGAACATTTAATGGGTACCTACTGTCTTTGCCTGACCGTGTGTGAGTGTGTGTGTGTGTGTGTGTGTGTGTGTGTGTGTGTGTGTGTGTGTGAGAGAGAGAGAGAGAGAGAGAGAGAGAGAGAGAGAGAGAG